GACCCGAACCCAACGTGAACATACGTATACACACACCCACCCACACACACACACATATACACTTCTACAAAACTATGCTTTTGGCATTTGTATGACTCCAAAACATGCAAAAACATTCTCTTCATCCTAATAATCAATCCTCAAAAAAATAAAATTCAATTTGCACCTTACATATGGTCAAAATGAGTCCCTTCCAATAGCGAATCTAGACCATTCATTTGGCAAATTTCAAAATCTGAGCTTTTACAAACTCAAAATCAATTTTTTCTTTTTTTACATTGTTCACTAATGATAATAAAGCTATCTAAAGAAATTGGAAACAAAAAAATCATTTGAAGGCCTAGATCTAATCATCATATCAAAATAGACAGCCTATGTTAATTGCCCTAAAAAAAAACTTTCTAGGTTTTGTTTTCAAAATCTGCTTTTTGTGATTGATCATTGAAATGAAAAGAGTGTATATTTCAAAATTGAGGTCAAAGAAATGTCTTTAACATAGTTTTTGGAGTTCGTTTCATTATATTACTATACAACTATTGCATGAAATCATTCCTCAATAGATATATATGTATGGATAAATTAGAAGATTCATTACATGTGATTTTCTCTCTTTTCTCTCTCTAGCTACTTCTCCATCTCCATACTTCTCTCTCCCTCTCTCTACCAACTACCCATGGTTATAATTGTGGGTTCACCGTGCTTTCTATTTCCCACCAGTAACACGTCTGACCTTGAGAAATGAGATAATGGCCTAGAAGTTATTCACAAATAACCCAAAAATCTCAATGCATGAGCTTCGTGTAGGATTTCTAACACGAGTTGCGAGATCTACATACAATGAATATAAATGATAAAAAATGTAGAGAAAGAAGGCTCTGCTTCAAAGGGTATTTTAGGGTGAATAATAATGAATTTTAAAATAGTGATAATTTGAAAGTTATTTTAGGGTGAATAATAATGAATTTTAAAATAGTGATAATTTGAAAGAAATGAGAAACCAGTATGGTAGCTTCGAAAGAAATTAGACAAAGGGTCCTAGTTTTGATAACATTTTGTTGCATACTTCTAGCCCCATAGAAGAGATTGATTCATGATAATGAACCATCCATTCCAAGGAATCAAAATTCTAAACATTCATCGGATAGAAAACAATACCAAAGTTGTAATCCATTGGGGTGCATTAAGAGGTTACTATTCAGTATTTGATTATCTAGCATCAACTCATCAATACAAACATCAATATTAATGAGATGGAAGAGCGACAATGACTTTGTTGAAATTTTATGGATAAGGCCTTGATATTATGTCACAAGTTTTTGGATAAAGCGCTGATACCACTGATAATTGATAGCACACACTCACTTTTGTTTTTAGAGAGATAAATACAAACACATTTATACGTTACGTACAATTACATATTGGTTTCCTCCGTAAGTTGCTTATATCTACAACTACAGGTACACATCACTTCAATACATGGAGCCCATATGTATAGGTATTTACATGGAAACCACCCACTACCCACGTGTTGGATAACTACCCATTAAAGAGATAACTTCTCACTATCTTAACTACTCATACATTCCACTTTTACAAATAGAGATAACTTCCCACCATCTTAACAACCCATACATTCTACTTTTTTTCATCATCTTTAACATACCCCTAGATGCAAAATTTCATATTTTCTTTTAAATTTCTTATTCTTGTTTTTTGTTACTTCTTCTTCTGCTTCTTGCTTCTTTTTCTTCTTTTTTTTTTTGTTTTTGCTTCTTCTTCTTCTACTTGCTTCTTGCTGCTTACTTCTTTTTTTGCTTCTTGTTTCTTTTTCTTCTATTTTTTTTTTTTCTTCTTCTTCTTCTTGCTACTTGTTTTTGCTTATTCTTGTCCCGTGTTTTCTAAACACACTTTTTTGTTTATGCCTTCTCATTAGGCACCCTCGTGCCTTTTACAATTTCTTTTTTACGTCTTCTCATTAGGCACCTCATGTCCTTTATAGTTTATTTTTTAGGTCTTCTCATTAGGCACCCTCATGCCTTTTACAATTTCCTTTTTTTGCTTTCTCATTAGACACCCTCATGCCCTTTCATACCATCATCATGCCTTTCTATGGCTTGACAAACTATGACTGCGATGTTTATTTTCAGTTTTTCAAAAAATATTTTTCCTATGTCTACCCTAAGCATGGATTTCCCATGCCTTTCCATGGTACAACATATCAGGACTGTTGTGTCAAGTATTTCTTTTTACCCAAAAATTCGTTTTTCATTTTTCTTATGCCTACATAGGCATAGATTTCTCATGAGGACTACTCATGTCCACTTTTCAAAACTTTTTTTTTTTTTTAAATCTCATTTTCTGAAAACTTTTGAAAAAATATGACATCAAGAGCTCTCCAATTTTATTTCCCGACTTTTTAAAAATTTTCCATTTTCTTTTTCAAAGATAATCACATTTAAGAAATTCAACTTTGAAAATTGGAATCAATAGTTGAAAAATATTTTGACTACTATAGTGTGTCATATGAAATAGACTAGGAAATTAAATAAATAGATTTTAAATTTTTATCAACTTTTTTTCAAAATTTTATAACCTTTATCTTGAATTTTGTTTATGACCTGCTGAATTAAATTTCCATACCAACTTCTTTGGCAACCTGTGATCTCTTTATCTCCTTTTTGACAACCTGGGCTCTTCTATGCCTATATTTTTGGTAACCTGAGCTCTCCAATGCCTATCCTCAACTTGGACTCTCCGCACCAATGCATATCTCTTCGTTTTCTCACAACTTGGGATCCGATTGTTTTTTTTTTTTTTTTTTCTGTTTTATCACAACCAATACTCTCCACACCAATGGCTATCTTCTTTTTTTCATTTTCCATTTTTTCTACAACCTGCGCTCTATGGGTTTATGGACAAATTTAATGCCCTCAGCCCTTTTAGACAAATATTCCAAAGGAAAAAATATGAATACGTTTGAATTTTATAGGCATTTTACCTCTAATACTTTTAGTATCGCACTTATGACCCAGTTACTTTTGTTTCCTTACTTTTATCCTTGAAGCATAAGTAAATGATTTAAAAACTAAAGTACCATCAGTCAAATTTCTCTCTCTACCTGCGCTCTCTTTAACTACCCTCCTTCTCTTTATTTCTCTACCCGCCCTCACTTTCTCTCTCTACCTACCATTTCGCTCTACCCAAGAGAAGGAAAGGTGGGAAGAGAGAGAGAAGGTAGAGAAAGAAAGAGGAGGGTAGATAGAGAGTGAAAGAGCGAGAGGGAAGGTAAAGAGAGAAAGAGAGAGAGGGGGAGGTAGAGAGACATATTTGACTGGGGGTAGTTATAGTTTTTAAAACAATTACTTTTTGATTGGGGGTAAAATCAAGAAAAAATAGTTGATGGGTCATGTGTGTGATATGAAAAGCTTTAGGAGTCGAATGTCCACAAGGTTTATTTTGGAGAATATATTAAGATATGGAAAATAATGGTAGATAAATTATTTAGAATACCTTCAACAATCTTGAGAATAGCAAAATAGTGCGTCCAAATAGAATTTCCATGCCCGCCTCTACATTTTTAATGAAAAAAAAATGCCCCCTTAAAAAATAATTGATTTTTAGTATAAAAACAAGATGAAAAAAATTAAAAAGAAATGTAAACATTTGACTTGTTTGATAACACCTAGAAGCATTAAAACTGACTATGAAAACAACTAAACTAAAGAAGATATAGACCTTCTCTCGATAAAAGATACAGAATTGAGTTTAGGTGTCCTAGATTGAGGCTGGCATCTACCAAGTTAGGAAGGTCGGGCCTAGGGCCCTGACTCGGGGTATGCCATTGTTTTTATTTTTTTCATTTTATTCTTTTCATTTATTTCTAAAACGCATATTTGTGCGAGCGTCCAGTTTTGTATTGCCAACAGTACATGGACGGTATTATGGCTAGTCTGTCACCCGAATCGTAATTTAACATGACCCATTCTCTTTCGAACCCCTTTTGACAAGTTTATGCCTAAAGCAAAGACTATTGTCTCTGCCAAAATTTTTAAATTAAAAAACACACCCATTTGCATCCATCTTTAAGATGGATGCTTAATGCCTCGGGGTACGCAAATAAAAATGTGTCTCCTGACACATGGAACAATTTCCTTTAAAAAAAAAAACAGCAAAATTTGAGAAAGTCCGCTAGAATTATGAATTGTAAATAAGCTTAGGAGCAATTGTGAAATGCTAAAAGATTGGTTAGTCCCAGGGGAGTATATTATCGATTTGCTCCCTCCGGAATAACACATGCTAGGCAATAGATTTTAAATTTTTATCAACTTTTTTTAAAAATTTTATAACATTTCTCTTGAATTTTTTTCATCACTTGCTGAATTAAATTTCCATACCGAATTCTTTGGCAACATGTGATCTCCTTATCTCCTTTTTGACAACCTGGGCTCTCCAATGCCTATATTTTTGGTAACCTGAGCTCTCCAATGCCTATCATCAACTTAGACTTTCCACACCAATGCCTATCTTTTCTTTTTTTTACAACTTGGGATCTGATGCTTTTTTTTTTTGGTTCTGTTTTTGTCACAACCTGTGCTCTCTACTCTAATGCCTATCTTCTTCTAATTTTTTTTCTTTTTTTTTTACAACATGTGCTCTGTGGTTATGGGCCCACCATGCTTCCGTTTAACAATCTGGGCTCTCTTCACAACTTGAGCTGAGCTCTGATACCATGTTGAAATTTTATGGATAAGGTATTGATATCATGTTGCAAGTTTTTGGATAAAGCATTGATACCACTGATAATTGAAAGCACGCACTCACTTTCTTTTTTAGAGAGATAAACACAAACACATTACGTAAAATTACATGTTGGTTACCTCTATAAGTTGCTTATATCTACAACCACAGGCACACATCACTTCAATACATGGAGCCCATATATATAAGCGTTTACAATAAAACTACCTGCTACTTACGTGTTGGATAACTACCCATTACCTACGGGAAGGGAGAGAATTTCCCACACTATCTTAACTACCCATATATTCTACTTTTACATAGAGATAGAAATAACATCTCACTATCTTAACTACCCATACATTCCACTTTCTTTGCATCATCACTTTAGATCCAAGAAAGGAAAATAAACCCTAAACATCAACACAAATGGGTTGGAAGAGCAAGGAGTTGAAGTGATCAAGTGTTGTACTGCTAGTAACACCGAAGCCTTCACCATATTGATACATGAACTCAAAGGATCTTGCAATATTTAAAGCATCCTTGATGGAGGTCTTTGGAAGTGGAGATGGAGTACGGCATTCTTGATGAAGATGCTTCCATATATCATTTATTAAATCCCTAATGTGCTCCCGCGCTTGTTCCTCTGATGCACCAGTCTCTTGCATGTAGCATTGTATTGATTTAAGTACATCTCCTCTTTCTTGTTCATCCTTCATGCACAATAGCAATATACTTTCTCAATTCTTGGATAAAATGAGTTCAAAATGTGCATGAGAGAATTTATGTGATTTACTAGTTGTAACATTTTCTTTACTTTAGCTAATAAAATCAAATAACGTTCAATTGAACATCTAAATCAAATGTGGTGCACATACTGTACTTGTTCCCATATCATTGGTAAGTCGTAGAAAGATAGAACAGAACCAGACAATCTTTGGACCTTGTTCTAAAAAATCAACAACTTCTTGTGTAATTCTCTCTCCAGAGAGAAAATAACCAGCAATCAAAACAAGCGGCCCCGAAATTGAGGTATAGGCATTGCTCAAGTACTCATCTAGAGTTGGTTTGTACCCACTGTGAAACCACTTTGCTTCTTTCAAGTATGCCTTGCATAGGCCAGCCCACTGTAACAGGAGAAATATATGCATCAGTAACTTCACAAGGGTAAGTCACATAAAACTTAATGCATATTGAGACCAAGTTAAATAGGAAATGCATACCGCTTTGCTGAGGGATCCGATGATGCAACAGCCCTGTTCCTTTAGACTATCATAGGCCATTTGATTCACAGTATTGTACAAGGCCATGTAACATGTTTTCATGTACTCAGGTAGTGACTCCATGGCTTTGAGGTCCCATCTGTTGATTCAATGACATAAGACTAAGTAGTTGAATACACGAGCCACACTGCCCTGCTTTGTCATCCATTTTATTGAGGGATTTGTTGACCTAACTCCTTAGTTTATGACATTTCATGGGTGATTTGCTCACTTACATCCTTGATTTGTGATGTTTGATCCTTGCTTTGTGATGTTTGCAACACTTTTCTAAGAAATGGAGGATCTAAATTCCCTTTAATGAAAACTAAACTATTACATGGGAGGAATTTTATAATAATATAAGAAGGCTAGTTTAGACCTCATGCATTTAATGGCAAGATTGATATGTGAATTCTGCACCATTTCTATGAGAGATACATATGGTCTATGTAATATTAGGGTGAGCACTCAATAGAAATGGGGGCATAAAAGCTAACCTATAAAACGAAAGTACGAAAAAATCATTTTGTGAGTATTATATATATAATCGGACAATAACATATCAATCCCTAGGATTTTGATACAAACTTCGAGCTCAATGTATTAATAATGTCCGGTTGATGTTAAGTGGTTGCACTGGAGGACAATTTTGGTTCAATTCAATGACTTTGGTATAGCATAGTATGGTTCACAATTATAATATGCCCAGATTATGGCTACAATGAACTGATGGTTTGAATCTAAAGCAAAAATCAGGTTTGGTAAAAAACCATATGTAACCAATTCTTAATCTGTTTTAGGTGGACAAACCAACTGGTTTCAAATGATTGGATTAGCTAAACGAGGATGGCCAATTTTAATACATGTTTTCAAATTATTATATTCATTTTTCTCCTCTTATTTCAAAAAGTTGGTTCAACCGATTCAACTAGTTGTCGGACTGGCTTTGACTAGATCAAAACCCTCACCAGTTCGGGGTGGCCGATCTAATCCCTATAGCATTGACAATATGTATTGATGTTTATGAACATATGGAATAAGTAATTTAGCAGTATCATACCTTTCAACTGCTTCAGTGAAGAGCTCTAGGTCCTCTATTGATCCATACACATCATAAACATCATCTATTACTGTTATAAGAATGTTAGTTTTGGCCATGTCCCTCCTTGACCTGCCATATTGAGGCTCATAAGCTACCCCAGAAGAAACCAAGAAACACTCCAAGGTTCGCTCCCTAGCAAAAGGAAGTTTCTCACTCAGCCTTGTGTCTCTCCACCACCTGTTGATAAATACTTCTTATTCACAATTCGGCAATACGTTCTTTTTAATCAATAATGGAAGTAAAATTTCTTTGATATCACTTTTTGGCAACGGTTAGTTTTGAAGTTTTCAATAAATCAAATTCATGATAGACTCTTATGAATTTTGGGCATTTGGAAATTATTAAAATTCAAATAGGAATCAGTCAGAGACCTACAAAACGAATCTTAAAAGACTTCAAAAACTTAATTAAAGAAAAATTGTTCCACAAAGCTCTCGTATTGAAGTTCATATATAGATTTATATTTTCTTGGCAAAATATAAGGTAAATGGTCAAATCATCTTATAATGTCTGATCAAACCATTCTAATTAATGGTACCAGTTTTACTTTTATAGTTTCATTTCAATCAGATACCTTCTCATATAATATATCAAATAATAACCAAGTTGTTCTATCTTAAGGATTGGTAACTCTAATTAAGCAAGGGTAATTTGATAATTTTGACCATCGCAAATCACAATAATATCGTTATTGTTTTGTATTGCCAAACCTGAAAAACCAGGTGTTTTATTATCATTTGGCTCAAGCCAATTAAGTCGGCCAAATTATTGAAAAATCAGTGTTTGCTCGGGTTCCCAACCTTGAACAAAGATAACTTGTGAAACTTAAATCATAATAATCCTAATTTAAATGGGTTGATTTGACCACTTTAATGATGTTGTATGATAATATGGTCATTTAGTTGATATTTTCCCCATTTTCTTATTCACTCTCTAGATGTATCTAACTACCCTATTTTCTCTTGATAGGATATAATCTAAGATGCTTCGAAGTATTTGTCAAACCTTGGTGAACATTACCTGAACACTTCTTTAAGATCTGCTACGTGAAAGGATTGAACCATGTTGAAATTTAGCTTTGCAAGTTCAAGCAAAATTGGGTTCCTTTCTTTTTCCCCTTTGTAAACATCGATGTTATATCTGGCTTCCACTCTAACCTTTCTCCGAGAACGGGGAAGCTCTAGGGCATGGTGCACTTGCTCTCTAAGAAATGGTTCCATGCTGTCCATCTTACCCTTCAAATGCTTGGAAGTGAAGGCCTTAGCTTCATCTAATAACTCTTCTCCTGGTAAAGCAATACATGAAGCTTCAAACAAGCATAACATACCCTTCACATCTCCACTCACTTTTGTTATAAAACTCCCATCTCCATCTTTGAAGGGATTGATCCGTTCATCACAATCATGTTGTGTAAATTGGAGTGCTTACAAAAAGGATTCTATGTGACCCCCACCTACATATCTAGTATATGTTACCCTTTGTCTCCGCTATTAGATCTATATAGATGGCTAAGATTACTTGAGTCACAATGTCAAAAATTGGCTTTTACCGTCAAATCTTGATCGGACAGCTCAGAGTTTTTTATTTTAAGTTTGTATTCTATAAATAATTTTAAAGCAAAATTTGGGCCATACTTAGATATGTTAGGGGCACACATGAACAAAATAATAATAAAATATTTTTAAGATGAACAATTCCAATAATACCTTTGAAAATTTCAGGTGCATTTTTTTCATTTATTTTTACAAAAAATATTTAATTTTTTTTACCAGGTTCACCCTAATTTATGATGGGCCACCTAAAATTTCATCCAAAAATATTTTGTAGAAAAAAATGAAAAATAAAACAGTGTTTAGCGTGACATTGGGGTATGAACAATAGCAGCCGTTCGATTCAGATTGAACGACTAAGAAATGGGATCACATGGAAGTTATAGGTTCTTGGGCAAGATAAAAGCATTTCCCTTACAAAAATATGCTAAAAAGTCATTCATGGGATCTACAAAGTTTACAAATGTCAAAGAAAGTGGGAGTTATTTTCACTCGCACTCTCTCTCTCTCGAAATGAATTATTGTTCAAATTATAGTTAAAATTTTGTTCAAAATTTTGTTCTCTATTAAAGCCAATTTTGTAATTATAGTCAGAATTATTAAATTTTTTATTATAAAATCGAAAATTTAAAAAAAACACATGAAATGTCAAGTTGCTTTATCATTGGGCTATTATCCAAAAATAAAGGAAAGCTCTCTCCGTTAAAATGTCATAAAAATAGGATTTAGTATGTCTCGTTTCCTAAAATTTCCGTGTCTTTAAAGGGTTGCTATTAAATTTGACATAGATCTCTAAAAATGTTATTATATGAATATGAGATTTGAGTTTTTTAAAGATTTATATCAAATTTAATGGTGATCCTTTGGAGTCCTACACACATGTACGTGGAAGGGTCTCATAGGATCATTACTCTTTTAAAAATACGGGCTTGACAATAAATATATTTTTTAATATAATTTAAACCTACTTTTTCGAGAATATATATTCTATAACATGGAGATCATGATATGAAAATTAAATGAATTTTAAAAAATAGAAATAATAATTATATTAAGATAACTTTTAACCTGTTAGTTACAATTGTTTCTCGATAGACGACTTATTTGCTTCCATATTTAAAATTGATGCTTTATACCTCTGGACCACATATTGTAGAAATGCATTCCAATCTGCATGAAACAATTGTTCAAAAAATATCTAAATATGCATACAATTTACATGAGAAATAACTCGAGCATGCTTTTTCTCATATTTGGAAAACACTATTGGAAACCCACTGACAGTGAGAGAATATAACAACTTTAAAATTTTGAGATAGTTTGTCTCTAAAAATTTTAAAATTGCCTATGTCTTTAAAATTTAGAAGTTAATATAGTTTCTCTGTCTAAAAATTTTGACACAATTCTTCTCTCTAACAATTTGAAATTTGAGATAGCTTCTCTCTCTAAGAACTTTAAGATAATTTCTCTATAAAAATTTTGGGATAGTTTCTCTCCATAAAAATTTTGAGATAGTAAATCTTGGTAAAATTTGATATAGTTTCTCTCTAAAATTTTAATACATGTTCTCTCTATAAAAATTAAAATTTGAGATAGTTTCTCTTTCTCTCTCTAAATTTTGAGCTAGTTTCTCTCTGTATTACATTATATATATATATATATATATATTACATTATATTAGGTTGTATATATTGTATATTTATATTTATATTTATGTTAGTAATAAATATTTGTTATCAAATACAGGTATCCAGAACTTCAACATTTCAGCAAGTTATCAAAAGGTATTCAGAATTTCTTTAAACTTTCTAGAATGAAATTTTCCACTTCCCAGGAAAGAAGGCCTTTTTTTTTTTCTAAGGAACATTTATCTTCTAACAAAGAAGTGGACCCTAAAATTTGAAATAGTTTCTCCTCTCTAAAATTTTAATATATTTTTTATTTCTAAAACTTAAAATTTGAGATTATTTCTCTATAAAAATTTTGAGATAGATCGAGCAGATCTATGAACACCGGATAGTCTTGAAAATTGATAGTCTAGAAAATGCATTACAGAATGTACTATTTCCAAAACTTGAAATCCATTTGTTTTCATGTCCATATATTACGTATTTTAAAAATAATGTCTCATTAATTTTTAAAACATTATAAAAATATTTAATGTTAACTTTCATTAAAAATTTCAAATTTTGTAAATAGTTTATGACAAATTTATTATTTTTCTTAAAACAAAATTTAAAAGATCCTTAAAAACTATGCATATAATTTCATCAGACAATTACTACAATGACGTTATTTATTGTAATGATGTTACATCTTTTACTGTGTTTCTATCACATTTATACAATCAAGTATTATTCCAATGTTTTATAGTTATTGGAGAAGTTGACTAACCGACCCATTGTCTAGGGGGTGGCAATGTACCTAGACCCAACTCGGGTTTGGATATGGGTACAAAAGTTGGACGCAACGGGTCACGTTTAGGTCCAAATCTTGTAACTGAATACTTTTTGGGTCTTGGTCTAGGTATGACTGGGTTGGGTCGTGCATCATATTTTTGAAATATATTTAATATATTTAAATATATAAATTTTTTGAGTTTTGGGATGGGTCTGAGTACTGCCCGACCAGTTGCCATTGGAACCAACTAACTCTTGAGACCAACAAATATGCATGAGAAAAGCATGATAAGGGTGTTTAATTTTGTTGAAGATTGATGTCTTGTATTATAAGAAAATAAATATTTTGTTGAAGATTGATGTCTTGTATTATAAGAAAATAAATATGCCAAAGGTAGAGTCAAAAGGACGACTCCGGAGGGCCGTTAGAAGTACGAAGGGCTTGAGGCCCTGAGGAGTCGTCCTTATCAGGTTGACTCGTCTCCTGTAGGTGTTCGGGGGCGTCAGCCCCCGAATAAAGTTTTTGGATATATCCATACATGGGATTCGATATATCTGGGATTTTTATATATATTTGTACTTGGGGTGTTTCGATAATTTGTACCATCTATCTGAGATTCGATATATATTATTGCGATTGAGAGTTCATCTAGGGTTAAAGGAAAATACAAATCTCTTTGTAATTAGAGAGAATAGATAGGCGTGAGGAATGGAGCATTTGTAACCCTATTCTTCATTGCAAGTAAAAAAGCTCTCATCTCCCATGGACGTAGGCACTTTGCCAAACTACGTATATCTTTGTGTTGTAGTTAGTTCTCTCTTTCTTTTGTGTTTGTTTCTTTTTTTTTTTTTCATGAACTACTTTTTGTTTCTACAAATTTTTCACAACATGGTTTGCAATTACACCCATGAGCCAGATCCCAAATGTGGGTGAGTGTCCTGGCTAAGAACTAAGACCATGACAAATATGGCTCGAGGACTAGGTTGAAAGGCAAGACCGGCTAGGCATGGCTAGAGGTGGCAATGGATACGGTGCGTCTGGTCGACCTCGACCTAGACCACACTTGAACCAGAACCAACGAGTCTAGAACTTGGACTTGGAACCGACTTGGTTCGGGTCCTATCAAAAACATGAAAAACATTTTTAAAAAAATCATATATATATATATATATATATATATACACACACACACACAATGAGACTATTTACCTTTAGTATAAGATGGTCACTATTAAGTTTTACCATTAAATATGACGTTGGGAGGCTGCATTTATTTCATTGACCAAACTCGAAGTTTAAAAGAAATTTTTTCGAACTTTGTGATACACCCAAGGTATCAGATTTCACATCTGATGGTTGCAAGTAAATGCGACCTCTTTGTACTAAAGGTAGATGGTCTCATTGTGGTTTGTATAAGGTTGCAACCTTAAATAATCAAATTAAGGCACACATCCAAATCTTCTCATAAAAATATAATTTTGGTGTAAAAATTCTTAGGATGGCTTGAGAATCTATTTTCATCTCTAATTATAAAATCTTAAACTCTAAAAATGATTCAAATCAAGTTAATCTATAAACACTTGAAATTTTTTGAAAATGGATGTTCCGGATAATGTGTTGCAAAATAAATTATTTTTAATACTCGAAATGTATTTTTCTTTTTATATTCATACATCTCGATGTCGAGATGATCACCTGTAGGGTTTTCCAACAAAAAAATAACCCTTTACAATAGAATTTTCAGGTGCGCCTTATTCTACATTTTAAGGGTGAAATGGACAAATGAGTTTTTAACACCTTCAATAAATTTTGAAACTAAAAAAATATACATATCTTGCAGATTTTTGAACACTTACGATAAAAAAGACAGTTTAGATAATTTATTGAAATATACACTATTATTTAGAGTGTGATACCTAATAGCTCTTTACAACCGTAATGTTCAAATCGGAATTACAATTCCTGATGAGTTATTAGGTGAGGCTTTACTCATTTTGACAGGGTTGCCTATCAAACCAGGAAAAAACAACACCAATTGAATCTTCTTGTCCATATACCAAAAATTCCATTGACTTAGAGGGGGGACCAATAAAGACATGTAACACGAGACCCCATACCGGATGACATGAACTCAAACGTAAGCATGAAGCTTCCTCCCTATGTCATGCCTTGTTTTGAGTTGCTTTTTGACTTCAACATGCGCTGGGCATCGTTTTTTGCCGACAACGTTGTTTTTTTCTTGGGGAAGTAGCAAAGCACTTTCTTTTGCACCAATTTACAAAGAACTACTTGGGGAAAATTTGCACCAGGGAAAGTCGACTTTTTGTACAGTATGCAACGTGCACTTCTGATTATTCGACAGAAGGAAAAAAAAAAAAAAGAAGCCATGTGCACTTCTTTATAACTTCTAGAAGAGGTTTTGGTCATCTTCGGTGGTCGATCCTCAATGAGTAACAGTGGTAACTGATGTATC